CTGGTACGTCACCACTTACAGAATGAATAACAACAACAACAACAACAACATGTTTTACTGACTGTCTACTTCTGTGTGTGTGTGTGTGTAGCGGAGCATTCGTGCATCGCGCTTCGTGGACCTGGAAAGCTCGGAGATCAGCGACGCGGGTACGTTTTGCCTCCATGTGTGCTTCTTGCTTGGTGACAATGAACTTGTGCCCTGATGGTGGAACATATTTATTTTTATTTCCAACAGATGTGTCGCAGCTCTTGAGTGAGTACAAGGAGCTGGTGGGGATCGTCAAGACTGTCTCCTCCCTCCAAGAACAGTAAGAACCATGTGTTAGGCACGCAGCTTACAGGTCACAATTTTGTTTTTCACAATGTACACTAATCAAAAATTGAGTCCAGTCCCTTGCTCAAGTCGGAAGGCATGAAGGCTGATAGATTTGATTTAAATTAAAATTTCTTTCGCTTTATGGTTGAAATGCCAGCAGGAATACCCAGTCAACAGAATTTGCTTGTAATAAGGCACAGTGCGGTTTTTATCACCTGCAACAAATCCCCTGTGGTGTAGTTGGCTAGCATTTCCGCCTGTCACGCGGACGACCCGGGTTCAAATCCCGGCGGGGGAGATACAACCTTTTTTTACTCTTGATCTTCTGGAGCCCTTCATTTCTTCTCTCAGGGACCCTGTTGGGTGTGAAATCCGTATGAAAGGCCTTAAAAAGGAGATTAGACAAAAGAGAGGAGTGAACGGAGTGGGATTTGAACCCACGCATCCGAAGATAACAGTGCCTTAAACTGTCGCCTTAGACCGCTCGGCCATCCGTCCCTCGCTAGGATTCTGCCCTTCGCCCAGCACACCAAACGGCTTGGGAATCCATCTCCATGGAGATAAAAAAGCAAAGTTTGCCCATTAGTGTTCTCATCTAAACATGGGATGTGCAGGGCAATATTCATGATGGTACTCTTACTCTTGTCAAATTCAACCCAACCATAAACAACAGGGTAGTTCAAGGGTAGCACCATGAGGTGTGCTGTTGCTGTGAACTGAGAGTGCTAGAAAATGCAGCTTGTGCTAAAGCCAAACAAAATCTCAAATAAAGAAAATGAAGCTTCAGGCCTGCTGGGGGTCGAACCCAGAATCTCCTGATTCGTAGTCAGACGCCTTTCCATTGGGCCACAGGCCTTGCTTATTTTATCTTTTCGCTGAGCTTTGGGTGCAAGCACAAGTTACAGACCATACTATCATCAACTTTGCATAAAAGT